GGCCAGCGGGACCGTGCGGTGAAGCTGGAAGAGCTGGAGATCCCGGCCCGATAGAAATACAACCTGGGCCACCGGGACCACCAGGGCCACCAGGTCCTGCAGGCCCACCTGGACCAGATGGACTCCCAGGCTCACTATTGGCTTCTGGTAAGACTAGCTTTCTATGTGACCTACTTATCGTTGCAAAACATGTCAAAAATTTAGGGCCACCAGGACCGAAAGGACCGCGTGGACCGCCTGGGCCACCAGGACCTCCAGGAAATCCCGGTCCGGAGGGTCCACCTGGAGCAGCTGGAGGAAGTGGTTACCTTGGCATTTGTCCAAAATATTGTGCAGTGGACGGTGGAATATTCTTCGAGGATGGAACCCGACGTTAAGAAGCATTACACTCGCACAATAATTTCACTCTTGTGTAGGCGCAATCACTAGACGCAAGTCCCAACAAAGTGTTTAGACTGAAAGCACGTACTGTTAGATCTTTGTCAGATCAATCTCAAGCTCAAACGTACTATGTTCTCTTAAGTTTGCAGTATTTTCACAAGTCGTTATAGTTTAGTTCTTGATTATGTCTCTCTTTTACTGTACTCAGTCTCGTCTGTGTAAAGAAAGGATACGCTCAAGTATGCCAGCTTTCTTCCTGTGGCATTTACAATGATGATATTGAATGAATGTTTTACTTAACACCAAAAGTCTTTTTAGGCGCACCGTACTACAGTTGTAGAACGGACAAAGGAATTAGAAGTCCTTATACTTTACAAATGTTGTCGCTCATGGATAAGTATCACCACTTGTACAGATATGCAGCAATGAACTTTTGATTATTAGAAGTTGGAATCTCAAAAAATTAATTTCAGCTTCTTTGAACCTAAATAAGATTTCACACCGTAGAATAAGGGTTTTGACTTCGGTAAGAATGGTCTAGTTATGGCGTGAGTATATTAGAACAAGATGCTGAGGTTTTTAATTTTTTAACATACTACTTTGACCGATTCACGACGTTTTCTTGTGAAGAAAAGATTATGAGCACAGAATTCAGCTCAATTTCTTCGGACCTTGAAAAACATTTTGAGCGATACCTCTAACTTTGCGTTTCGCTAAAGTATTTTAGATGCCCTTAACTGGCTGGTCTAATTCGAAAATTTTCCTTATTCATCCGTATTACTGTGGCGATCTCTAAGCTCGCTTGTAAAAATAACAATGAAGCAATTGCATAATCATCAGCTTATAGTGGAAAAATTTTATTACTGCAACATTGGTTGACATAGTAAAATATCAATCGGACTTAGCTCTTTAACAGACTATTCCAAGGTTCAAAAGATGTAATCATGGGAGGAGAAGAAAAGGTATCAGAAAATTGTGCTGCGAATGGCCGATAACTAAAGAGCATGCATATATGCGATATGAACATGTAGTATTGCTAAAAGAGTGGGTATAATGGTTCAGGTAATGAGGGATGGGGCATGTCGCTAAGCAACTATTCTTTGTCATCTGTATCGGAACATCCATTAGTGAAAATAGTGAAAGTGCATGCTGGAATTCCGAATAAAGAAATAAGAAAAGCTAGTATCACCCTAGGAACTGTAACTGCAAAATGTACGGCTTATTTAACGTTATGATGGAAAGGACTTACATATGGAATTTTTGTATTATACTACAAAAATCTACATGAAAAATGATTCATAAGGTCAAAAATTATATTCTACACTAATTCCGCTTTGTCTCTCAG